TACCGAGCTATCAAACCCCCTTTCTTTCCACACAAAACTAATGCCCCCACCCCCCAAAAAACATTAACTGCTCTTATCAGCCAAGATTCTGGCTCAACATGAGACAAAAATCAACTTTTAACTTGTCACATTGTATTATGATGATCATATTTATAACCCCGTATTTGACATTTAAATAACGAAATCTTGAATCAGCTAAAAAGCTAATTATCTGAGCATAACTTTTGCTTTCATTCGGTGGGTAAACATACGTTTATGTTATCATCTGTGTTTAGATTTTCTTCATTTGGGTGGTCACTAGCCTTACTACAAATATAGTTTGTGCTTATATTGCATTCTCTGTATGTAACATAGGCATGTGAGATAAAGCTGATTAATTTCCTCTAGAGAAACAAGTTTTCCTTATATGCTGTAGAAGGGAAGGATTCGCTCTGTCCTATTTCTGCCACTTAGAGGAAAACAAGAAAATACTGCAACTACTTTTTGCTTTGTTTCTTTCCAAAATTAAAAATTTAGATAGCTTCATCTTTTTTTTTGGCCAAGGATTTGTGTTGTCCCCACCCCCTGTGAAAATAGTACAAACCTGAGGACAGCAGCATGTGAGTGAGGCTCTTGCCAAGATATAAACAAAATAAAAGGACAAAACTCAGTCCTCTTCCCACCTGCCAGAGTCCAAATTTCCCCTACTGGCTACTGTAACGGCTAACAACAGCGCACTGTTTTGAAGTAAAAGCTGAAATTTCTTTTAAGGTATGATTTTAATGCCCAAATTCTGGTTTCTTTTTGAATGGAAGACTGTATTTCCATGGGAAGGGGAAAGAAGAGTGCCTGTGCTTTAAGGAAGACACTATTTGTCTGTGTAAGAACATGGTGACCATTGTACTGACCCAAGCAAAGGTGGCATCCAGTCCAGTCTCCTCTCTACAACAGGCAGACACACAGCGATGGTCTCCTGAGGATGTGACGTGCAGTACTAGGGTTATATCTTTTATCAAACCAAGACATATGGATGGAAAAATTAGACAAACTTTTGGCCATACAAACTTTTCCTTATGTTAGAAACACCAGCTGCAGCTCTCAGTTAAGAACAATTCCTTAAAATTTACTAAGACATTTATTAATGAAGACAGCTCTGAAAAGAAGAAGATGGTAGCTGTAGAACAGAGAGGACGTTAATGATGTTAATGATGCAGAGGATGTTAAGGATGGGAAAAAGAGTGGCATTTATTAGCTAAGCAAAAAGGAGAGACAATTACCTTACAGTCTGTCAATTCAGAGAGAGGTAAGCAGGGGGATGGAAGCAGAGCGAAATTACAATCTACTATCAGATCAGGATCTCTGCTGAGTCCCTGGTTTTGGACATTGGGCAGAGCTAGGAAACCTAGTGTCCATGCTCACTTCTGTGGGACAAGTTCTGCAGTTTCCCTTAAGGATCGGGTCTCAAAGATCTGAGGAAGAACATTTTGTTTTGTGAGAAAATCTGCCTCACCGACAGTACTGTGTTCTGGTCTATAAAGCCCGTCTCTGGGAGTTCATACTGCTGCTGAATGGTGGTTTTCAGCAGCAAAACTACCAGGAAAGCAGTCGTGCCCAGGATGAAGAACTTCACTGTCCTGGAACTGCAAATGTCAGATGGGAAGATGGTTTGATGGCAGGGGGTGTTCACTGCTGTAGTAGCGGATGGGCATCAACGCACCTTACGTTTCTGGCTCAGGCAGGGTTTAAACTGATCTGGTGTTTTGGACCACAGAGAATTACGCTTCTAATGGTGACTTTTGTGGTTTGGGGTGCTTGAAATGTAGGACAAGGGCTTCTGGGAAAATTCTTTCCATACAGGATTTTCTTCTGTTATGTGAAAAATCATCAAACAGTTAAAATCGGCAAGTCCTAGGAACTTTGCTGAACTTACCTGAACTTACCAGCTCTCGGCCCTCATTCTTCTCCCCACAACACTCCCTCCATTCCCATTTCCACTTTTTCTTTCTGAGTTGGTCTCACTGATACATCCCTATCTAAGTTCTAAGCAGTTGTTCTCAAGCTGCATTTAGCTGTGGTAGTTACTGCTTCAGAAACAAAAAATAGCTGGTTAACCCAGAAATTTGTCTACTTTTCCTTCTATACCAGTTGGTCTGAAAAAAGCCTATTATTACTTACATGCACAAACCTTGTCCTGTATGCATTGATCTTTCTCCTAGAACAATCTTCTGGCTTGTTGCACACAGTGACTTAGAACAGCAATTTTCAGTGCTTTTCAGTTTGAGAAGTATTTCCTTAATATTTCAATTGCAGACCCCCACAGATAGAATTTCAGCCAACTGATGATGGACTTAGATGTCTTAGTTACCTTTTTTGGATTGTGTGATGCATCCCCAGGTCTGAAGACCACAGGCAGAAAGCCACAGAGGCTTCCTGAGAAGAGTTAGAAATTCACACTCATTTTCTGTGAGAAAAAGTACGTATAATACTTGTTTCTATCTAAAGATCCAGTGTTCAATTGTTTTAGGATGAATAGGAAAACAATACTGTTATTTCGGGATGAATATAAATTAGGTTTTGTGCTAGAAAGGAGTCAGTAATTTTAATTACCGATGTAGATCTGAAGAGGAAAATCTGTAGCTTAAAACTGTAAATACGATACGCAAGGAATCAAACTTTTTTCAGCAGAAGATGGGAAAAGATATCATTTGTGCATATCATTTTTGAACTACAGTCCTCTGAGAAGAGAGTTCTTGACAGAACTCAATGAACCTCAGTAAAGGAGGACATCAGCGATCGACATATTTAACGTCGTGCAATTTCTAAACACGATCCCGCTCCTGCAGTCATTACACAGCACAGATCTTGCTATTAATTAGTTTGAATGTGGGACAGCACTGCTGGGAGAAAGACAGTGGCCTAAATAGCATGGTCCAAATTTTATCTGTAGCTATCCAAGAAATACGGATGTCTTTTATTAACCCTTGCCACCTGTGACAGCTAGAAATAAATGCTGGGCTTGTCTTATTCCTAATGGATTTTTGCAGCTCATTAGCGTGTAATGTGGCAAGGGTGGGAGCACGCCGAGGAGAAGGAAGACAGCTGGACGCAGAAGTTTCATGCCTGGTTCAGCCCCGAATGGCAGCATTAACCACTGGACAAATATGAGGACATTCACATCCAGAACACAGAGGCTTCGTTCCTGAATGTTTGGAGAACGAGGTAGGATTCTCCTCCTCCTCCTCTCCGGGAGCATGGTTTATTATTCTTACTGAATTCCAGCGAGTACAGTAAATCCCCCATTCGGCCTCCATCATTTTCCCAGACTGCGCACTTCGGGAGAGCCAACAGGACCTCCGTTCTGCGTGAGCAACGGGGCTTTAGATGCACAGAAATGGCCACCGTTGGCGGCTACTGTGTACCATTCACCCCCTCCCCAGAATATAGCAAGTATTCCAAACGCCAGACAGGAGGCACCCGCAAGTGACGCCACGTTCATCCCCAGTTAAGCTGGAATAGCTGCCCACTGGGCAGAGGGAGGATGGGGAATGGGAAAGCCCTCTTGGGGTTGTTTTCGCACCTCCGGCTGCTGCTGTAGACACGGCAGGAGGAACTCGCACACAGAACACTGGCGATAACTCGCCAGAGAGGTACTTGGAGCCCCCGAGGAGGGAGGCGAGCTGTGGCCACTGGCGCACCGCCGGGGGTGCCCGTGTGAGATGCGACCGCCGCCGCACGGCGCAGGCTGTGACCCTAACCCGCCTTCGAGAGTCCA